AAAACAAAAATCTTCACAACTTGTCCAATAAACAGCTTCATGGTGGATGGAGAAAAGATTGAAGTTGTCAAGGATTTCATATTACTTGGTTCCACAATCAACACCAATGGAAGCAGCAGTCAGGACATCAGATGACATATTGCATTGAACATATCTCCTGTGAAAAACCTCTTTCAAGTGATGAAGAGCAAAGATATCTCCTAAAAGACTAAAGTCTGCCTAACCAAAGCTATGGTATTTTCAATTGCCTATTATGCATGTGAGGGCTGGATAATCAATAAGAAAAACCGAAGAAGAGTTGATGCTTTTGAGTCATGGTGTTGGAGAAGAATGGTAAGAGTACCATGGTCTGCTAAAAGGACTAACAAATCTGTCCTGGAAGAAGTGCAGCCGGAATGCTCCTTGGAAGCGAGAATGGCCAGACTTTGTCTCACCTACTTTGGTCATGTTGTCAGAAGGAACCATTCCCTGGAGAAGGATATCATGCTTGGTAAAGTTGAGGGTCAACAAAAAAGGGGAAGGCCCCCAGTGAAATGGATAGACACAGTTGCTGCAACGATGGGCTCAGGTATAGCAAGGATTATGAGTCTGGTGCAGGACTGGACAGGGTTTTGTTCTGCTGTCCACAGGGTCACTGTGAGTTAGAGACAACTCAACGGCACCTAACAACAACAACAACAAAATTTTATATATGGGGTTTCATGCCATAGATACTGTTTTGCTACTTGTTCTTCCTAGTTAACATATGTTTTTATGATTTATCTGTATTGGTACTTGTAGATCTAGTTTCTTCATTTTTTTTTCGCTCTGTAGCATCTGTTGAATGCATAAACCACAGCTTATTTATCCATTTCCTTATGGAGGGGCAGGTAAGTTGTTTGGACTTTTTTTACTGTTATACTCAGTGCTTCACTGAACATCCCTGTGTGTCTGTCTCCTTGTGTACATGTACAAAAGTTTCTGTAGAACAGATACCTAGAATGGGAATTGCTTCCCTGCACCTTCACCTTTACTCAGTATTGCTAATTGCTTTCCAAATACTTTACACTGAAAGGCCCCTGGATGGTACAGGTAGTCTGCACTTGGCTAGTAACCCAAAGGTTGCCTGTTCAAACCTAGCCAGCAGCACCACAGCAGAGCCAGGCTTGGCAAGCAACTTCCATAAAGATAATAGTCAGTCTGACTCCAGAGCCTACAAAGTCTCTCCAAGTGAATACACAAACAAACAAATGCCTCACCAAATACTTTTACACTTATATGAGCCCCAAACTAACGTTCCTGTTCCTCTATATCCTAGTCAACACTTGATATTGCCAGGCAAATTATGTGTTTATAATCATCTGGGGTGTAAAGGTATCTTATTTTTACTGTAATTCACATTTCTATTATTACCAGTGAAATTAAGCATATTTCCATTGGTCATTTGGGTTTTCTCTTCTGTAAATTTTCGATTCATATACTTTGCTCACTTTCTCTTCCTTATTGATTTTTTGAAGCTTTCCAGATAGCTTAGTATTCAGAAAACACCCTTTATTACCTGGGTGGTAAATACCTTCTCCCAGATTATGACTTGCATTTTAACTTTGATTTTTCTCTTTTTTTGTATAGAAATGTTTAACTTTAAGGTAATCAGATTTATTCCTTTTATCCTTTTCATTTGTGCTTTTTGTTCCCTTCCCCCAAGGTCATAAAAATATGCTATTTTTTTTTCCAGTGAGTTGGCATTTTTTATTTTCATATTCATGACATTAATCCACTTATATAAAGCAGTGATCTAGTTTTATTTTTTTCCACATAGAACCCAGTGGATCTAGATTCACTTAGAAAGTGAAAGTGAAGGATGACTTCACTTTCACTCCCCGCCCCCCAATTTGTAACACTATCACCATCATGAAGCAAGTTCTTGGCTCTCTCTTCTGGTTCATTGATCTATTTCTCTATCCCTGCCCTAGTACAAAGCTGTTTGAATTACTCTTGCTGTGTGTTTTGTTCTGATATCTGGTAGGGCAAGTCGTTTCTTTTCTTTTAGAGTTGGCTTGGCTCTTTTGGCCTTTTACTCTTCCATGGGGATTTTAAGATCAGTTTGAATGACCAGGTCAGGAAGGGTCTTGAACACCATGTCATGGACCGTTTCAAGAAGGGAAATAACATGGTCAGCTTTTCATTTTTTAATCACTCATGAAGCTGTATGGGGATTGGATTTGAGAAGATCAGACTGGAGGCAGAAAAAAGAAAACATGGAACCTCAGACCAGTCAGTGATGAGAGGTGAACAGGGTGGAGGTGCAAAATCTGGGGGCCTTGGTGATTGCATATGGTGAGTAGAAGAAGAGAGAAGAGAAAAGGCAAATCATAGTCTGGGAGAAGCCAAGGACAAGCCCTGTATTCCAGGTCAGGTCATTGAATGAACAGCAGTGCCTCCGGCCTTGGGTGGAAATACAGGAGAAGGAGATACCAGCTTCAACCTTGGCCCTTTTGGATTTGGGGTACCTTAGGGAAATTTAGAGGGAGTTATCATGGATATAAAGGTCTTGGCGGCAAGAGGACTGCAATAAAGAGTCATCAGCATATCTGTTGTGGTTCAAATCAAATGAAAAACAGGAGCTAAAGAGGGAACCCTGGGCGGACTATGCCTGCATGGTGGGTTGCTGGGATAAGGAGCCCACGGAGGAGACAGAGTAGTGGCAATTGAAGGGGCACAAAGAGAACCAGGTGAGCATGACGTTACAGGCACAGAATAAGTAGAGCGTTTCAAGAGAGAGATGCCAAGGGCTCTTGTGAGACTTATGAGTGTTTGTTGGTCTGGTAAAAAGGAGGTCACTGCAAGTGTCATTCGGTACAGAAACTAGATTTTAGTGACTTGAAGAGTGAATGGGAGGGGCAGAAGCAGTGCAACACGGGGCATAGACACTCTGTGGGAGGAAGCCTGATGGGGTGGGAGGAAGACCCAGGGACAAAGGACCTTATTTTACAGAAAAAAGAGAGATTAGAGTGTGTTTATAGGCCAGAGAAGGAGTCAGAGAGAGAAGGGAAAACTGATGGAGTGAATTCTCAAGAGGAGGTAAGTAGGGCTGGAGAGGAGGGATTGGCCTTGACTGACGGAGGCCAGCCGACTTCTCAGGACTGGTGGGAAGGATGGTATTTGTGATAATTGCAGATATGGAAGTGAGGGAGCTCAAAACTGACAAACACAGCTTTCTCACTGAAGTAGAGTGGCATCATTTGAAAGGGAGGGTGTCTTGTGAATTGAGTGAGGGCTTAAAGAGATAAGTCAAATATGAGAATAGTTGTTGGGGAAAAAAAATAGAGAAAGTTGACCAAGGCCTACTAAAGGGGTTGATAGTGGGGCTTTAGGAAAACGAAGGAGGTAGTGAGTGTGCAGAGTAGTAAGGTGTGGAGGAAGAATAGCAGAAGGTGAGACAACTAGTAGGAAATAGGAATTCAGCTAGGAGCAGGAATTCAGAGCTAGGGATGATACAAGTTTTCCGTCCTTGTGAATCTTCAGAAATAACAGAAGGGAGCTGGACTTCCACAGTTTACAGGCTTTGGGCACTAATGTAAAGATAACTTGAGCTAACTGAAGGACATGGGAACCCATAGGTCACTTGTGGATCCAGGACAAGGATGTGGAGCTCTGCATGGACCTCTTGCTTCCCAGTCCTCTAGGAGTGTTCCCAAGCATGGCCTGGCAGCAGCCCCTTTGATTTGCTCTGCATTTGAAGTGCTCTGCAGGAAGCAGCTGAGCCCCTTTGTAGATGCCCAGGCCTTCACCACCAGTCTCTGGTCCAGGTAGCTAGAGCTGGTCTAGCAGCTGGGGTCATTTCCCTTAAGGCTTCCCTGCCCAAGATCAGAAGCTAAAGAGTGCAACAGTGGTCAGGACCAAGGCCCTCAAGATGCAGCTGTGATGTGGCCAGCATGAAGGATCCATGGACTCTTACTTCAGTCTCTGTGGACTGTACACAGTGGGATTTGTGGTGTCCAACTCCCTGGCTCTAATGACTTCCTGTTGGCGCCATGGCTGGAGCTAAGGGGGTGTGGTAATAATCATGATATTAAAATAAGTATGTTGCTCTCACCATGCCTTACTTTATAGACTCCTCCCAACAATCTGCAAAAACTAAACAAAAAAAGGGAACTCTGATGCAAGTTGTTGTTGTTGTTGTTGTTATGTGCCGTCGAGTCGGCCTCGACTCATAGCGACCCCTTCTTGGGTTTCCGAGGCAGTATCACTACGGAAGTAGGATTGCCCAACCTTCCTTCCGAGGAGTGGCTGGTGGATTTGAACCGCCAGCCGTCTGGTTAGCAGGCAAGTGTCTTAGCCACTATGCTATGTTTAATTATTCCCACTTTTCAGATGAGGAAATTGAGGCTCAGCAAATAAGTTAAGTACCCTGTCCAAGGTCACCCACCTTGTAACTGACAGTCCTAGGATCTGAACCCCTACCTATCTAAGTGCTTTCACTGAGTAAATTAAATACCACCACCACCCCCAATAAGCTCTCAGTCCCCATTTGTTGAATGAAAGTGTAGAAAACTGAACGTGTCTATATAAGGGCACCATGGTAAGGGCACTGGTCTTAGAGTCAGAAGGTATACTTTTAAGTCTCAACTCTATCACTTACTAGCAAGGTGGCCTTCAGTAACTCAATGCCGTGGGAAAATGAGGAGCCAGGCCACTGGTTCCCATAACTACCCATGGCATTCTCCCTTCAGCTCTTTATTAGACAGTGGAGCTTCCTGGTCAGTGAGCACTGTGTACAGCAGGACACGTGGCCATCCTGACAGTTATCAGTTCTGGGAGCTAATTTGAGGGAACGTGTTCATATCTAATGAGTAGGAGGCCATAGGGCTCATATAAACTTTGCCTAATCTGTGACAGCCAGGCCAGGTGCTAACCCCAAACCCACCACTTCTGAGCCTCCACAGTCCTGACCCAGCCTCCACAGAGCTCCCTGCCACCATAATTCCCATTGTTGCTCTTTGTTTCTGCTTTGTTCATAGGACCCTCTGCTGGCTCCAGTTCTGCAAGGTTCAGCCGGAGGCCCACCTGTCCTGATGCATCTGTTGCTGGCAGCCTCCCCACACCCCCAGTCCCAAGACACAGGAAGAGCCACAGCCTGGGCAACAAGTGGGTGACTGAGCAGGTCTTTCAAGGGTTTTAGATCATACTGAATGAGACCTAAAGGAATGCTGGGAAATACTTGCCAATTGTGTCCCTTCCCCACCTCACGCTGGGAGTTGCTGATGGAGACATTTGGTGTCTCTGGCTGGTACTTGATCTTGAGTCCAGCACAGACTCAGAGAAGAGCTGAGGCCAGCTGTGGCAGGGCACGCTACATATTATGGACATGTATCAGTAGCCAATGGAGGAAGAATGTCAAGGACAGGGAAGCAAGAGTGGGGTTCCAGAAAGTTTGCCCATGCTCAGTCGGTGACTCTCTTGTGAGAACCCCAGAGTCCAGTAGACACAAAATGACTGTCACCCAGGGCAGCATTTTATGTCTCATGTCTCATGGGCTCAGAGTCCCTGCTTGCCAGTTGCCACAGAAGGCCTGCAGAGCAGTGAACCTGTTGGCCCACCCAACCTTGTAGGGCTGAAAGCTGGTGGATGTGTGAGTCCTCCATATTGCTGAGGGACAATCATGCCTGTGTCCCCAAGGCACTAGGCATAGGTTCCTGAACAGATCTATCCCTCCTCTTCCTTTCCTTCCTTCTTTCTACCATGACACAAGCCTTGGCCCAGCCAGGCTGGCCCTCGAGGAACTCACAGACCAGAAGAGACTAGTAGTTTCCTCTGCATTCAGTACTTACTCTGTGCTGGGTACTCTACTACTGGCCTATCAAAGCATTATTTCCTTGAGTCTGTTTTAGTGTCTGAGGTAGGTGTTACTATTACATACATTTTAAGAATGAGTCCAATGAGGCTCGACAAGGTGAAGTACCTTATGAGAGTGAGCAACCGTTGGATAAAGGATTTGGACCAGGTGTGTGTGACTCCAGAACCAGGCCGGCTGACCACAGGGTTATTATACTGCTCCTTCACTTACACAGCCTTCATCGACCACAGAACAGTCCTCCATAACTGTCTTGGGAGACAAGCAGGGCAAGTGCATTTTTCTCCATTTGATCGATGAGAAACTGAGGCTCAGGAAAAGTATGTGACTTGCCCAACGTCAAACTGTGTGATAGTGGCAGAGCCAGGACTTGTACAGTGGTTCTGGGTGGAGGTCTCTTTCCTGCAGCTGCACCATTTGCTCAGGACCCCAGGGCAGGTATAACTGCTGTTACTCCTTAGATAAGGAGCTTTGCCTTCTCTCTTCCTTTCCATTTTCCAGTATGATGTGTCAGTTGAGTGTAGTTGAGAGTAAAAGTGCAACATTCCCATCGGAGAAAGCGAGGCACCTACTGGACGACAGCGTCCTAGAGTCCCGCAGCCCCCGCAGGGGCCTTGCCCTCACCTCCTCTGCCGTCACCAATGGACTCTCCCTAGGTAAGCGTCTCTGGCCTGCACACCACAGGCGGGTGGGCCCATGAGCCCTGTGTGTGCTCTGTGTCTGTCTCTGTGTTGCTGTGCAATGCCCGGTGGCGCCATCACCATGGGGAACCCAGTGGCACCCATTCCCCACAGAGAAAACTCCCTCAAGACAAGCCCAAAGTCTGGGAAGCCTTCCCCAACTAGTTCTGTGGGCTTCACAGAGAGTTTGTCTTCATTCTGTTGGTAGCTTGTGAGCGTTGCAGTCAGACGGAAGTAGCAGCCATAGACATACTTGAGACTGGTTGTTATAGGTTGCCAACTCCTAAAGCCTAGGTGTGGCCCGGAAGGGCTCCTGAGCCCCAGGGCCCTGCAAGGCAAAGCTGAGAAAGCTGCCTCAGGACAGCAGTGGGGTGGGCCAAGTTGCCACCAGGTTCTCATCTGTGTATTTGCAGTCACACTGAGAACACAGAATTAGGGAAAGGGACCAGCTGAACTTCAGGGGTGAACTTGCATTTCTGAGTTTCAGCCAGAAACAGTATTCATGTCAATGAAATGGACAGACATTATGCTGCTGAGGCTAGGATGGGAGCACGGTGAAGTGAGGGCTGAAGCTGGCACTGAGCTCTGGTTACAGACAGACTCTGCAGTGTCCAGGTCAGCTGAGGGCAAATGGACCCACCCAGTCAATATTGCCAATAGGCAAGTGCACTCTCTAATAGTGTTCCCTTTCAGTGTGCCTGTGCCTCTATAGTCTGTGTGTCTGTGTGTCTGTCTGGCTCCCTTAACAGGGAGTCCTCCCAGGGCTGATGGTGGGTTAGACAGTTGCCAAGTTGGGAGTTTGACCTGATGAGGACTAAGGGCAGAGGGCACCTGAGCATGGGGGACAGGAAAACAAACAGGAATTTCATGTCCCTGTGGCCCTGTCAAATTAGACCAGTCTCAGAGGCTGTGAGCAATATCACTCCAGGGAGCAGCTGTCTCCCACCCTGAGAGTTTGTGACAAGCAAGTTCCATGTCTGCCTTCTGTCGCTGGAGGAGGTGGCCCTCTTTGGATCTAGTCGGGAAATATAACAGCTTTGGACACTGCATCCCATGGTTCAGAGCTGTAGCTTGGCAGAAGAGCCCTGGGTTTAGAAAAGGTCAGGTTACTCAAAGATAAGATTATAACGCTGATGGGCTTTATGAACCCTCCCAGAAGCCAGCAGAGTCTATGGAATTCCCACGTTATTTGGCAATGGAATCTTTTTTCCTTGGAGTGCCATATAGGATTGGGGTTCTGTGGAACCCACTCTGGGAAATGCCGGCTGAAGAGCATTCAGCTGGGAAGCAGAACAGCTGTCCTAGGTCCAGGAAAGTTTCTGAGCTGTGCCTGAGTCCAGGGCTTGCTATTCCTGAGACAGAAAACTGAGTCAGATGCTGTCCGGTATCCAAGCAGGAGATCACAAGATTGTTTGGTTCTCATTTCCTCAAGTCAGAGAACTCAAAATGTTTTTCTCTTTGGTGCTGAAAGCCCTGGAGTAAGATGTTGTGTCCACTTGCACTTTGGAGAGCTGACCTGGTCCTCTGTCCCATCCTATAATGAGGGCCGTTGCTCAGACTGATGGCCACAGGCCTGAGGCCTTCCCCCTTTCCCTTCCCACTGCTCAGCTTTGGTGCCAGCAGGCAGGTCAGGCTCCAGGGTCTGAGGGAGAACACAAAGGCATCACCGTTGCCTGCTTGAAATGACAGGAGGCAATCTCTCTGCTGTCTTGGCCCTGGAGAGCCCTAGAGAAGCAAGGTATCTCAGTCAGCCCCAGGCGATCACGCCTGGGAGGAGGAGCAGAGTGGTGGAGTTGAGCCCTTCTGTGTGTCTACACTGAGCAGGGGTCTGAAAGAGCCCTCTCCAAGGCTTCCATGTGACACTAGGTGACTACACTGTGACCAAGTATCTACTCAGGCCTCTGAACATGGGGGAGAAAAGTGCTCATTTCTCCCTCTGGCCTCGCCAGTGAGGTCTGTTCTAGTGCTGGCTTCACGTAGGCCAGAGACAGCTAGTGGTGGGGCCAGGCCAGGCCAAGACAGAGCCGAAGGACCCAGACCACACTAGGCCAGTGGGCAGGCAGCTGCTGCCTTCCAGGGACAGTGGGAAGGGAGTGGAGGACCCCCCTGGGAACATTTTTGTGGGATGGGCTGGCTCTTTGAACCCTTCAAGAGCAGAGAGCCAGAAACAACTGCAACAAAATTGGTCATGCGATGCCCACAGAGACAGGCAGTTGTTTCCAGCACTTCTGTGAGTGCAGGGGCCTGGACCTAGGGACCTAGGCAAATGGGCCCCTCCAAGGTCAGCCCTTTGAGAAGCCACCATGCTCATTGATCTGTGTTCCTTTTTCAGGCAGTAGTGAGAGCTCAGAGTTTAGTGAAGAAATGTCTTCAGGGCTGGAAAGGTGAGTGTGGCCTCAGCTCATCCTCCCTCCCAGGGGAGGTATTCAGGGCCCAAGAAAGCTGAAAACAGACTCCAGCCAGAGACAGGTCTCCCCACCCCACCTCACTGGCCCAGCCTCAGGTGAGGGCTGCTCTGTGGCTTCTCGGCTTGGCCTGGGGGCGGGGGTGGGGGAGGGAGGAAGGAAACACAAGATGGGGGGGGGGCGGTAAGGAGTCCCAGCCCCCATGCTCTGAGCTGTCCTACTCCTCATCTCAGCCAAGAACCAGCCCAGAAGCCTGAAGCCAGTGACCTCTTCCTTGGGCCAACTACAGGAGGAGACCTTGGAATAGATTTGGTTTTAAATAGTTTCTTGAAACCAAAAGCCTGAGAATCAGCCTAGTCGTGAGATGAGCATGTGGCTCCACCTAGTGGGGTTTGAGAGTGTTGTATCCACATGACCCCAGGCCTTGTGCTGTGGCCCCCATGTGCATTTTTTGCGTGCCCACCCTACTAGGCACTAGTGCCAATGAAGTGGCCACAGCTGCCACACATCCTTGTGGATTCCTCATCCAGAGTCTGGATTCCTGTGGAACCTATCTGTCCAGGTTCAGGAATTCACCCATTACATACGCATTCACCGGTGCTTTCTCTGTGCCAGGCACCAGATGGCCTCTGGAAAGACAGGGAGCAATATGAATGGGGTGCTCCTATAACTGTGGCACTGCCGAGATGAAGGTGAAGGGCATCACTGTGATGACTGGAGATCTTAGGGAAGACAGGGAGAAATGCAGTAACCCAAAGTGTAGGGAGAGGTAGGTTTGCACAGTCTTGAGCTCAGCCCCTTCTCTACCACTCGAGCCATCTGCAAACAAACACATACACATTCACACGTATATACTTGCACAGTCATATGTGTGAGTGCACACACTCTGACACTTGCACACTCACACATGTACACACACATGCTCACATGTGTGCACACATACATGCACATGTGTATGTACATTCAGGCATATACTTCCACATACTCACATGCATGTGCATGTGCACACACTCACACATATGCTTTCAAACACATACACTCACACATACATATATGTACTTGCACATGCACACATACTCATACATATACATGCATTCCACTGTTGCTTAAGCCTTCTGTCCCCCCAATTCCCATAATCATAAAATGACCAACAAGGATGTAAATCCCACCCAGCAAATCCTCACAAGGTTGAGGGCCCTACTATAATAATAACTGATCTTTGTTGAACATTTCCTGTGTGTCAGGCACTGTCTTACATACATTGTCTCAAGAATTCCTACACAGAACTTTTCATTATTTCATTTTTTGTACTTCCTAGGAACTATTCGAGGTGGGTAAAAAAGCTAATCAAGTGATTGTCTTGTGCTCAAAAAAAAAAAAATTCCTACACAGGAGCTATTAATATTCCCCCATTATATACACATGGAAAGCAAGGCTCAGAGAGGTGACATGACTTGTCCTCTTCACACTTACCTAGTAAGTGTCAGAATTGACCCAAGTACATCTTCCTGACAATCAAGGCTACCTCTTCATCCCTGTCCCACAGCCTCTTCCAGAGAGTAGGCTGTGAAGGCTGCGGGCACTAGCCAGGCCTGCCGCTGCGTCATGGAGGGTCGGTCAGTCAGTCTGTCTGTCCATGTGGAACCCAGGGTGGAGGGATGGAAAAGGATGCTGGGAGCCTTCAGACACACTTACCATCTGGCCCCAGGTCAGGACTCCTAGAGGGACATTTGCCCTGTTCCCCTTTGCTCAGACAAATAGGCCCAGCTGCTCTCACTCTGGGGGCACCCCAGCAGTAGGGATGAGGACCAGACAGCCACCAGGGGTAGACTCCAGAACCATGACCAAAAATTTGGCCTTTCTCAGTACCAGTCAGGAGATTTCTGGGGAGACCCTGAGAAAAGAGGGCTTATAGGCAAGCCAGGCTCTGGCCTGGGAGACGTCAAATGAGAAACTCAGGCACACTGCCATGATCCTGAATATCATCTAGATCTTGACCTGTTTGTTCATCCATTTGTTTGCTCATTCATTCATTCATTCAATAGCTGTTTATTAACCAACTACTCCCTGCCAGGCACATGCCAGTTCCTGGAGATATAACAGATAGGGTTCCTGCTAAGAACTCAAGACTGAACAATACAAGGAATTAACTCAAGACTGAGTTATAAGGAGGGAGATGGTGAGAGAGAATTCTTTGCTCCATGGAAGTGGTGTTAGACTCAGTTGAGTGGTGAACACTGTAAGCTATAGCACTTGTATTTTTCTCTCTTTTATTTGGATTATAGCATTTATATTAACTATCCATCTCAATGTCTGTAGTAGGTGAAATCTTTTTGGGTGAGATCTCCTCCAAGCACTGCTCTCATGGCCAGCTCTTCTGCACAGCCAGATGCCCAGCCCTGCCCCGAGCCACCTTTGGAACAGCCCTGCAGGGAGAATGTCCTATTTCTCATTCTCTTGAGACCTAACTCCTGCCCCAACCTTTCCTTGCTGAAGGGATCATGAGGCTTTGGAAGATGCCAGTGGGGTTGTGGTGACCTTTCCAGTCCTTGTCAGACTCAAGGCAGTCCTCATATTCCAGATGCCCACTGCCTCCTTGGTGTCCAACTCCTGTGGTCCCTGATGAAACTGCATTGCTGTCTTGCACTAGCCCCTTCTCATCCACACCAGAAAGAACCCACTCACTCAAAAGCATGGAAGCATTCTGGACTTCACTGAATGCTCCATGGAAGAGTTTGAGAGGAGGATTTACTTCACACACATTGTGACAAAACAGGTTGGAAATCTTCATTAGAATGTTTTCTCTCACAGTTGGGTGACCTTCATGTTGCCACCTGGCACTCTTTATTCCTTACTTTTCTACACACAATCTGTGGCTCCACTGAGTTCCCCTCAACCCTCTAGTTCTCCCCCAGCTCCAATTGTTCCCACTTGATAAAGGGGCATAGAGTCCCGCTTTCCTGGAAGCCTGAATATCAGCCTACCTATACCTAATGGAAAGAGCCTCCAAAGCACTTACCAGTAAAGAAGAGCCTCCCTCTACGTGGACTTCCCACCAGCTGTTCCTACCAGATACACTTTCTCTGCATCATTATGCCTGCATGAGTGGACTGAGGCATTGGAGCCAGGGCCAAGGGTACAGGAGAGGGCTAGACCCCACCCAGAGGAATGAGAAATGAGAGAAGAGGAAGCTACTGGCTTCACCATTCCATCTAGAGACCCAACTGGTGTGGCAGGGGGTGGGCAGCACTTTGCCCATATCCCTGAAGCTTAGAGGTCTGCAAGCTTCAAGTGAATCACCTACCAGCTCCTCAGGCCTGGTGACAAGTTTGGCCAGGAAGAGGAACAGAGCCAGAGACCAAGATGAATGGCAGGGAGTCCCTTGGTCAGTGACCCTGCCCCCTACCACACAAACCTCTACTGGTTTGAGGGCACATCTTAATCACTAGGTTTGTCATGGGAGAGTTTCCATTATCCAGTCCAGGCTGAGATCATTTGGCCATGTCTTGTGAGTTTACATGCAGTGACGTCTCAGCCCAGTGGCTAGTCCTTGGGCGACAACAAGCGGTCAGGTTGTGCTCAGGGCTTCTGTGCAGCAGCTAACCTTAATGAGTGCCCATGCTGGAACTCTCTGTGGGGACATGTCAGGAAGAGGGGTGGCACTGGCCACCAACCCCTGTTCTTGCTGGAACTGTGGAGTAAAGTAGGGAACAAAAGGAGCCCTCCCGTTCTGTTCTTCATCCTCCTGTCCCCTCAGCCATCTCAGCCTCGGCAAAGTTACAAGGCCTGCAGGGCTGGGGAGGATAAGTGGGACTGTAGTTGGGGCCAGACAGCCAGAACTAGGAAGGTGCTAGTCATTTCTCAGCACCCACCCCCAGCTGCCTTAAAGACCCTCTCCTATTGCTGAGCCCAAGGCCTCTGGTTCCAAAATCAGGATAAGGTGGTGGTCTTGGCTGTCTCTGGAGGAAGTGGTGTGAGAATGGGCCTGCTGCCTCCTGTTGTTCTCTCCATACCCTGGGAGTGGGGACAAAGGTCGAACTAGAGTCCTGCAGCATACCCTACTTTCCCAAGGAGGAGAAGAAGGTGGCCTGAGGCAGCATTTTAAACAGACCCTTAATTAACTGGAAGGTAAGGACAGGGATGCTGTGCTAAAATGGACCTGAAGCAAACCTCAGCCTTCTGAGAAGTTAAGGGAGGAGGGAGTGTTTCAGTCAGGAATATCAGCGGAAAGTAACAGATGTGCTCTGCTATGCTGATTTGGAAGACAGGTTTAGGAAGTGTTGGCACTGAGGTGAGAACAAATTATTATCCTAAGGATTTAAAAGTTCTTTTTTATGAAAATGGGATACAGAGATGAACATATATGTTTATATGAAAATGTTGTTGTTGTTATGTGCTGTCGAGTCGGACCGACTCATAGCGACCCCTCCTTGGGTTTCCCAGGCAGTATCACTATGGAAGTAGATTGCCCCATCTTCCTTCCGAGGAGTGGCTGGTGGGTTTGAACCGCCAGCCTTCTGGTTAGCAGTCAAGTGCCTTAGCCACTATGCTACCAGAGCTCCTAATATGAAAATACACACTATTATTCATCTTGTTTATCTCTGGGTTGTAGGATTATTGGAAGAGGTTGTTGTCTTGTTTTGTTTTCCCTGTATTTGCCAAATTTTTCACAATAGGTAAATATTTCTTTTATGCTCAGAAAAAAAAAATAACATTTAACTTTGTTAAAGAAACTATAATTAGAAATGTTAGTGGTCAGTTTTGTTTGAGAGGTGAAATATGGAAGTATGTCACAGTGTTCCTTACAAAGCACCCAGCCGGCCATCTCTGGGCTGCCATTGCCAGAGAAGGTCCTCTGTGGAAGGACCTGCTCCTGTGAGAGGGGTATGAGTGAGGAGGAAGACTGGGAGAGAGAGGGTCCTTAGAGGATCTGACATCATCTCTAGTGGGAGAGGAAAGTATAACATAGTGGGTGGTTC